TAGAAATGGGGTTTGGTTAATGTCCCATTCCTCAATACATGTAAAATTTGTACAAAAATATCTTCTATGAAAATGATTCGTAATCTGTAGACATATTACCTGTAAAATGTCTTGAGATGTAAAATCCCATCCTTTGGGTTGTGGGTTTTTTCTTTTCTCCAAATAAATCTGATCTTTAAAGTTCAAAAATAATAATAATAGTTTTTTTAATTTAAAATTCCTGTATCATCAAATTCATATCATTATTTTCCCCATAACTATGGATTCATAAAACCACCTGGTATTCCACCATTATTGACCAGTTCTCAGTGTTGGATTTTTAAAGATAGGGTTTAGCTTCTGTCATAAGTAACGCAAATAGTGTTCTTATAAATAAATATTTGGGGCTGTATCTCTGACTCTTTTCCAGTAACATATTTCTAAATGTAGGATTATTGGGAAAAGATACAGACGTATTTTTTAGAATCTCTTTCCAAATTGCTTTCCAGAAAGACTCCACCAGTTTTTATTCCCCGCAGAGGGTATAAACATGCCCATCTCATTATGCTCTCACCAGCATTGAATGTTATGTTTCTTTTTAAGTGTCATTCAAATGAAATGTTTTGGTTCATTTTTTAAAAATAACAGCTTCTTCTGAATGTGCGTCTTCTGTGCACTGTTCAGGTCACATCGTCCGCCCGTTGATCTGCTGGGCTGCTTTCTTCTGATACGTAAAGACCTCTGTTTGGTGCAAACCTTTTATTCCAGGTTCTCACATATCTTTTAATGTTGTTGATAGCATTACAGAATATTTTAATTTAATCATATGTGGTAGCAGCTCTCAACGTTTCCCCTTGTTGCCCCAGCTTTGAATTTTCTTTCCCACCAGCCAATTTGACTGTTTACAGGAGGCAAGAGGGTCCAGTGGTTAAGAATAACAGCTCTGGTGCCAGGTGCTTGGGTTCAAATGCCTGTTCTGGCCCCTAGTAAATGCATGAACTTGGACAAATTTCTCAATCTCGCTGTACCTCAGGTGTCTAATCCATAAAATGAGGATACCAAGATTATCTGTCTCATAGTGTTGTTGTAAGGAACAAATGAGTTATTTATTATTTATAAAGGGCTTGGAAGAGTTTCCCGCATCTAGTTAAGTGCTGCACAAGTGTTTGCTTTTATTGTTACCCACTGCAGGGAGCCTGTGAGCCTTATCATTTGGAAAGTAATTTTGTTTCCTTTTTTTTTTTTTTTTTTGAGATGGAGTTTCGCTCTTGTTACCCAGGCTGGAGTGCAATGTCGCGATCTCGGCTCACTACAACCTCCCCCTCCTGGGTTCAAGCAATTCTCCTGCCTCAGCCTCCTGAGTAGCTGGGATTACAGGCACGCGCCACCGTGCCCAGCTAATTTTTTGTATTTTTAGTAGAGACAGGGTTTCAACATGTTGACCAGGATGGTCTCAATCTCTTGACCTCGTGATCCACCCGCCTTGGCCTCCCAAAGTGCTGGGATTACAGGCGTGAGCCACCACGCCCGTCAATTTTGTTTCCAAAGTTAATATCTTATCTGTGAAAGAGAAAGCTGGGTTTATCAAGCAAGGGATACAAACAAGCCTAGTCACTTTGCTACTTTCATTTGAACTTCAAAAGATATATCTCCATTTTATTTTTGTTAGAGATTATTAAATTTAAACAAACGAATTACATACCCCAGAGGGCACTGTTCATTTGTGTCACTTTACATAACTCACAGCATAGGACTTAAGTGTGTGACCAGACAGCCAAAGAAAATGAACAGAAAAGCAGAATCTGGGAATATGGTTTCTCTTTAGTTCAGCAGATGTGTGTCCCAAGTCTGGGCCAATCACCAGGGATTTTGTGGTAAGAAATGATCGTAAGCCTGGAGCTGTCCCCACCTGCGTTGGAACCTGGGACAGGGACGCTTCGGATGTATTCCAGGTGGTAGCAGTGGTTATCCAGTGACCTTGACTGGAGTCCGACCACCTAGCTTCTCTTAACTGCAGTGTTTTCTCAGCCTGGTTCTTCAGATTTTTCTATGGATTTTAGAAATCCCTCCCCAAAACTCTACCATCTTTCCAGCAAATCCCTTCTCTGTTTACAAGAGCCAGAGTCCACTTCTGTTGTTTGCAATCAAGAACTCAGATATGTACTTAGAATAATTCCACTTTTGGAATCAATCCTAAGGAAATTTTTAGGAGTTGAGGCATAGATTGCAACACACGTGGGCTCATCAGTGGGCATCATAAAAGATTTAGAAACTGCCAAATGGCCAGCAATAGGGAGAGAGTTATGTAAGTCATACATCAATATGATGGATATTTGAAAATCAAATTTCTTAAGAGCAATTTCCCCCCCTTATTTTAAGAAAAGTTGTAGGGAAAAAAATAACAAACATCTATGTGCATAGTATGCTTTCAACCATGTAAGATACGTGTTTTTCTATACTGGTAAAAACAAAATTGGAGGGAGATGCACCACCATTCTCTATAATAGAATTATGGATATTTCACTCAACAAAACTTTTATTTTACATGCATGTTTTCACACTTTAAAAGAACTCTGGAGCCTGATAAATCTGGGCTTAACTTCTTCTTCTGCCACTCAGTAGCTGTGTAATGGGCAAATTATTCCACCTGTCTGTGCTCAGCTTCTTTATTTGCAAAATGATGACTATACATACTTCATGGGGTTTTTCTGAGTATTAAAACAAATGAGATAATGTATCAAGTACTTGATACAGTGCTTAGAACAGAATGTATTCTCAACTTACTATTTTTACATATTGGTATTTTTCAAGTTTTATGATGAAATGTATTTAAAATGGAGAATAATTAAATATCACAAAAGAGTTGACCATTGCTCCAATGAGTCATCATCTGTTACTTCTCATGTCAACCCCTTGTTCTGCTACCCCTGCCAGCCCGTCACATCTTAACTAGTCCCCAATAGGCCCTGGACCAGGAGTCAGGGCTTAAAGTATTCTTGCCAGTGATGCCATCATTTTGCTGTGTCTCCTGGGGCAAGTGACTTACCCTGGCTGGGCCTTAGTTACAAACAGAGGTATTAACCTGGATAATCTTAAAACACCTCCCTTCTCTATCTGTGATCTTGGAGCCCTGTTCACAATCTGGTCCTCAGAGGTGGGATGTCCTCCCTTGCCTACATCCTTCCCTTCATTCAGCCAAGACTCTCCCCTTGCCTCACCCAGGGTTCTTGCCATATTAACCCCAAACTACCTTCCTCTCTTGGAGTGTGGATCCCATTTTTCTACAGCCTGTGAGCTCTTGCAGTTCAGGCCAAAGCAGCTTTTACTTTCTACCAGAGGTAGAAATAGTCAGTGACTATTAAATACAGATTATAGATACCTATAGTCTGAAAACCAACTAGTTACTCCATTTTTGTCCCCAGCTTCCCCTTTCCTAGAAGAAGGGGACAGTAAAAAGATGGGAAGTTCCCTGGAGAGTTTGAGGAGGCAGGGCATCGCCCTGGGAGCTGGAGCATTTGTCTGGGATGGGCTGTGCCCTGTACTGGCACTTTGTGTGTAAAAGACAGAGCCTCTCATCTTCAGAGAGGAGCTACGGGTGGACACTGGCCTAAATGCACATCTGCACCACGTAAAAGCCACACCCCCAGGCTGGACACACCTGATGCCTGAAGGGAAGACAGGGCTGTGCTTTGTCTGATCTGACCTGTTCCTCCTCTTTCCTGTTTTCAGACCATGGGGGATGTGAAGCTGGTTGCCTCGACACACATTTCCAAAACTTCCCTCAGTGTGGATCCCTCAAGAATTGGCTCCATGCCCCTGACGGAGGCCCCTGCTTTCATTTTGCCCCCTCGGAACCTCTGCATCAAAGAAGGAGCCACTGCCAAGTTTGAAGGGCGGGTAAGAAATCTGGCTGGATGGGGAGGCTGTGGGGAAGGATGGGCAGGGGCCACTGCTCCTTGCCAAGCCTTTTCCTAGGCCAACTGGATCTAGTAGAAGGCTCAGTTTTCTTTTGGACCTTCATGTAAAATGAATCCATGCCACTTTTCCTACTTCTGTTTGTTCATGGTAGGCTTTGGTCTGTGCTGGAGAACTTGGGGGTGGGGAGGACGCTTCAAATTGACCATCCTGTGATGTTTTGCTGTTAATGTAGGTTGTGTTCTGGTTACATGCTGTAATTACAGAAAAAGAAGACATGGTCCAGTGGCAGGAAGTTACAGCTTGGGTTTATATATTTCCTCAAATCTGGACAATTGAGAATTGACTTCAATTTTTCACTTGCTTTTTCCCTAGAAGGAATGTTTAGTTAGCCGACCTTCTTGTACATCCACTTGGTATACACAGAGCAGTGATAGGACCTCTTATTTCACTTCTGTCACCTGTCATAAATGAATATGGTCACTTGCCCTTACTGGGACTCTACTTCTTCTGCAAATAGGCATGATTATTCCTTGTCTACTTAAAGGAGAAGAGAACACTGAAGAATAGCTGCACTATGACTGCAGTCTAAGAGGGAACTCCTGAGAGCTTATAGAAGGGAGGGGTCAGGTGGATAATTCTTTCTGAATGATGCTGGACCTTACCTTTGTATAAGTGGTGGGTCTGGCTACATGGTGGTTTGGAGAGCTTGCTGGGGTTGCTGCCTTGCAAATGGCCTGGGGCTGTACCGAATTGCATGCTGTGCACAGACCTGTCTAGTCAAGACTGCTAATGGTTCTGACCTACTAGTCCTTTTGTATCTTTTGCCAGAAGAAGATTGCTGGGGATGTTAGTGATGTTCCTGGGTAGTCTGTTTCTCTCTGGGCACTACCAGAATGCGGGCTGTCTTCTGTTGCCTTGACTCTGGTCCCCTCTGTCCTCTTATCCTCATAGTTAACAGGAAAGAAGCAACAGGAAGAATCACTGGAAGCTCCTAAATGGCTTAGTTGACAATAAAAAGGAATAAAGTACTGACTCATGCTATAACATGGATGAACCTTGAAACATTATGCAAGTGAAAGAAGCCAGACACACAAAGCCACCGATTATAGGATTCCATTTATAGGAAATGTCCAGAATGGGAATATCTGTAGAGACAGAAAGTAGAAAGGCGGTCGCCAGGAGCTGCGGGGGAAGAAGGATGGGGAGTGACTGCTGATAGGTACAGGATTTATTTGGGGCTGATGAAAATGTTGTGGAATTAGTAATGGTGATTGTACAACTTTCGAATGTACAGTACTTACAAAATACTGAATTATATACTTAGAAAATTAAAAAGTAAAAAACATTTGAGAAATGGCTCAGACAGCAAAATGGATCTTGTCTGCACATCCCCACTCTGGCCATACTGCTTCTGAGACATAAACTCCATCCTCAAGTCAAACAAATGTGGAGAGGAAGACACGACAGCCTCCATGTCATGTGGTGATGCCTTTGCTTCCTTTGGTGACCTTGGGGTCATGAAAGAACCATACCTTGAGTGACTTTTCGCCTGAGCACCGGCCAGGAACCAACACACTGGAGATCTTTCTTGCTCAGTGTCCTCTGGCTGATGAGTCATACCTTCTATGCAGCTAAGATTTCCTTCTCTGAGAAAAGACAACTGGCTGTTTCTGCATTTCTGGCCCACGGGGGTGTAAGAAGAAGCACTGAGAGATGGTAAAAGTCCCTCATAAAGTTAGAGACTATGCTTTGGTAAGACAGTATTTTTCTTAAGGAGTTGAAATTTACATAACAAATTTAACAATTTTAACATGAACAGTTTAGAGTAATTTAATTCATAGTGTTGACTGCAATATTCTTCAAATGTAGCTTTCTCTGTCTGAAAATTTTATTTTTCTTATATGGATGAAATAGTTGACTTTGTATATTACATGTAGACTATATGTCAAAATGCACATGTTCCTTGTGAGTCACACTGCAGTGCTACTTGACCACTTACCGCCTGACTTGAATTAGCCCAGAACAATGCCTTGGCAGCACACTGGTGTATACAGAAGAAAGGCTATTCCAGACAGTTGTCGAGAGCATCTGGCTGTCCTGCAGAGGCAAACCCAGAGGGAGAGACTGTAGAAGAAAATGCCCTGGAAGCTAGCGCGCTGCCAGTGTATATTGTTAGTGCCACAAAGAACACAAAGAGACTTTTGCCTCAGGGAAGGGCCACCTCGTGATCCCAGAAGAGAGCCAGTTGTTTTGGTACCAAAGATGAAGTTAAAGCGGGTGTTTCTAACCTGGTGCCCTCAGAGAAGTAAAAAGTTAGGTGGTGTTAGCTGAGGTGGCATGGGTTCTGAGCGCAAGTTGCTGGTTATAAGTAAGCTCCAGACACTTAAAACTTGCAGTTCTCTATTGGGCGTAGTCAGTGGTGGTCTGCCATCAGTGCATGTTAGCCTTCACTGTTGGGGCCACTTGGCCTTGCCTGTGGCTGCCCCTCGCTCCAGGTTCTGTGACATATCCTGTTCTAGGCACTCAGTCATCACAGAACCAGTCCTGGTATCAGTCTCAGGATGGCCTCAGGACGTCAGTCCTCTGATAACTGCGCTCTGGCAGAACCTCTTATTAGTGAGTAACTTAGAAAGTATTGGCTCACGCCTATAATCCCAGCACTTTGGGAGGCCAAGACAGTGGATCATGAGGTCAGGAGTTCGAGACCAGCCTGGCCAACATGATGAAACCTCATCTCTACTAAAAATACAAAATTAGCTGGGAGTGGTGGCACACACCTGTAGTCCCAGCTCCTTGGGAGACTGAGGCAGGAGAATCGCTTGTACCCGGGGAGGCAGAGGTTGCAGTGAGCCAAGATCGTGGCACTGCACTTCAGTCTGGGCGATAGAGCAAGACTTCATCTCAAAAAGAAAAAGGTATGCCTTCAAGTAACTTCTCGGGCCCAGGCTGGTCCCCGTCACAGCCTGGACGGGATCTTCTTCCTCGCTGCTGTCCATAACACCTCTGCCTGCTTTCCTCCATGAAGTTGCCCTCACAGTGGAGGGTCATAGGATTTCTCAGCTTCTTCTGAAAGAGCTTCAGGGACCCTCCCATCACTGAGAAACACAGTGGACACCACAGATGTGACAAAGTTCTAAAGATTAGTTTCCTACTGCCTTCGGAGCTGCCAATCAAAAGTTCTTCAAATGTGTGCTGTTGGTTTTTATTCTTGCAAGAGTTAAAAACATTGCCTTTTCTGCCACATTTCCTTTTTATGCCTATTTTTAGATAAAGGACTTAATGAACCTCTTCCTTCAGTAAAGCTCCTCTTTCTGTCTGGAGACTTGGGTGATACTGAGATGGGACAGTAGGCACCCTCTGGTGGTTCCAGCCTCTTTCTGAAGAGCTCCAAACCATGAGATGCTCATCTCTGTGGGCTTAGTCCCTTCTGCCTTCAGGCAGAAACACTGGGCAGCTAACACATAACCCATAACCAGGCCCCTTTGCCTTTGCCCTGTTCCATGATGGGGTCCACTGTAGCAGCTTCCTTTTGCAGCTAAGGATAGCCCGGTGACACATTTGGGCTGAACTCAGCTAAGGAGCTTCTGGGAAAGCCCTTGCTTTCCTGATTAAAGGAGCATTAAAAAAAAACAACACTGGTGCTTTCATATTCCATCCTGCCCTTGCTTTCTGCCTTGAATACAGGTGTACTGCCTGGTACTTGGGCTGCCAGATTAAAACCATGAGGCCACGAGCCTGAGGCCACAAGGATTGGAGGGGAGGCAGGCAGGGGGACAACAGTGGAGGGAGTAAAAAGAACCAGCAGCTAAGAGACATGAATCCTAAAGTTCAAAGGCTTTCCAAGATGCAATCTTTGACTGCAGTGATTCACACAGGAAATGTTACAGAAAGTATTACTAACTGATAAATACCTTGTGAGATGCATGTGGAGCTAGTGTCTCCTTCAATGATGGGAATTAATAGGAGAGAAGACATTGAACAGAAAACTAAAAGACTCTTTCAGACCTTACCAAATCTACTAACAGGGATGGGGGTTCCTTATTCTGAGTTGAATTCGGTCCTGCAGTTAAATCATTCTAGAAGGAGTCATTCATTCTCTGGCTGTGTCCATTAGGCTTGAACCAACAGGGACTGGGATTTATGAGAGGAAGTCAACAACTGATATTTTATTAGCGTCTTCTGATTTGACCAAAGCTTCTCCCCTCCTCTCTCTCTCTCCTCTTTCTCTCTCTCATCTTTCTTTCTCTCTTTCTCTTTCTCTCTTTCTTTCACTTTGCAGCCCAAAGCTTCAGGAGACTATATTTTCAGGAATTCATAAACCTTTATCTCATTACCACCTTTAGACCCAGACAACCAGAGCTCTTTCCCATGCCCATAATCTAGAAGCCCCTGTTCGTTTATCCAGCTGTTCTCTCTCCACAGAGCAGCAGAGCAGGGGACCAAGGGATATGCCCACTGGAGCCAAACTGCCTGCATGTGCTGGGCACCCAGGAGCCAGGATTTTTTTACCAAATGGCCCTGAGCACACTTCTAACACCTGTGTAGGTCTCCTCCCATGAGAAGATGCTTCTAGGCCTGGGTGGCAGGGTCAAAGGGCAGCTGTTTGCTTGGAAGCACAGTGAGGTAGATGAAAATTCAGATGCGGGGCTCTGTGGTCTGCTCACGTGCCTAGTAGATCAGGATGTTAAGTAGGGTGGGACGAGAGGCACACAGGCCTGTGCCACTGCCTGCTGTTCATTGCTGGGCCTCAGGGGTGGTTGGAGGCTTCCATGTACAGACAGCCAGGGCTCCACAAATACCAGGGCCTGGCGGAAACACCCCTAGCTGTTCTGTTGCCCATGTTGGCAGCTGAAGTGTTGATGGACTGCTTTCCCCACCACAGAGTCAAGTATGAAAAGAGAGCAATGGTGGGAAAATGCTGAAATTACTGGAGATTTCTTCCCCTCTACCGTGGAATTTATTCTTATCAGAAAGAAAGCAAACATGGTGACAAGCCCTGGCTGTGCCGTGACTCAGATGAGCTAATGCTTTAGTGTGTCTAGAGAAGTGCGGCCCAAATGAGGTTTCAGCTCACGGTGCTGGCCTCAGCATTGGCTGAAGTGGGCTTCGTGGTAAAGAGCCCGCCTGGCCCTGTCGAGGCGTGTTTCTGTCTGAGCCGTGGAGGTTGGAGGAGGGGAACGTGAGAAGACTGGGCCATGGAAGCGTGAATCATTCCTGAATTTCCACTTTAAACTGCTGGTATCCTCTTCCCAGTAACTTTCAACTCAGCTCACTTCCACCTCAGAAGCACTCAGCCACCATGTTTAGCGCTTTGAGAAATGGGAAAGAAATGTCTGGTTTGCTTTCTGTACTCAGGAGTCTTTATGATGTGGTTCTGGAAAAGAATGTGCATATGGAACAGCAAGATATGACAGTGTATAATTAGGTGCTTGACTTTGCTCAATAAATAGTTTGTACTGTAGGAATTTAGAGATTAAGATGAGGCTGGGAGTGGCTTGAAGACTGGTTTCCTGCTCTGACTTCTGCTCTTCCAGTTTGTCCTAACTTCTGATACTTAAGTGACCTTCCTACCACGTAAGTCTGACAGTGTCATCTCCTGCTTTATATGCCAGAACCTTGGACACTCCCCTTGCAGGAAATTCTGCGGCACTCTAAAAAGGCCCCTGATGACTTGCTCCTCACTCTCCAGCCTTGTCTCCTTTCCCTCCCTTCTTCCATTTGACATATTTTGGTGATGGTCCTGCTCCCCTGGCCCACACATGCACAGTGCAAATCCTTTGCTCTGGCACTGCCTCTGTGGAGAAACGGTAAACAAGAAGTCCATTTAATCTTCCTATTGGTGTGGGGTTTAGAATGAGACAGATATGATAGGAAGGGGACTATCATATCTGCTAATGGCTTATTGGGGCCAGGCTTACAATCTTAGTCACTTTATCCTCCTGGCAAGGCAGCTTTTATCCTGCTTTTTTATAGGGGAAGAACCTGGGGGCTCCAAGGGATTACAACATTTACACCAGTAAGTGATGGAGCCAGTTTTTATGGACCTAAGTCTCCTGTCCCTCCTGCCATGTTTCTCATCCATCTTTGAGTAAGAGGAATGCCTGCCATGTTATGAATGCTCAGGCAGTGTTTAGTGCCCCTGCAGAGAACCACGGTGGTGACGTGGCTAAGATTCCCGGTGTCTTGCCAGTCAAGAGCATAAGGATTTGGTCCCGAACTACTTCTAGGATCCTGTGTCACTGTTATCCCATCAGCACTCCCTGCCTGGCTTCAGAGCCCTCATTCTGCACCAGCCGCACCCCTGTGCACCTGCCCCCTGCTTCTCCACAGGCTGAGTCTATATCAAGAATGCTCTTCCTTCTCCTTTCCATCTTACCCAGCCTCAGGATCTGATTTAAATTCTACCTCCTTCAGGCTACTTTCCTTATGTTTCCTTTTAAAGCATTTTATTAGAGTACAGAAGAACCATGGTTATAGGATGTGGAAAATTCATAATCATATAAGATCATTCTTGACTAATAGCCACAGGAAAGAGTTGACCACTTTGGCCTTTTAAAAATGTATTATTCACTAATCATCTCTGTGCCTGTAACTTTGTTACAGAGAAAAACATGATTTAAATGATAAACTATTTTTAAAACAAAAATTCAGACAAAGTTAACCCTTACTTCTATTCTCCATAGGTATCTACCATTAATAATGTTGAATATCATTTCAGAAATGATCTATACAAATATGAGCATATATCTGAATATCCTTATGTATACACAAATGGGCCATGTACACATAATAACCTGAAACTTGCTCTTTTTTCTTTGTGGTTACATAGTAGGTGTATATATTTATGGGGTACGTGAGATATTTTGATACAGGCATGCATTGTGAAATAAACACATTGTGGGGAATGGGGTATCCATTCTCTCAGGCATTTATCCTTCGAGTTATAAACAATTCAATATACTCTTTATTTTAAAATATACAATTACTATTGACTATAGGTACCCTGTTGTGCTATCGAATAGTAGGTCTTATTCTTACTATTTTTTTGCATGCATTAGCCATCCCCACCTCCTCCCCAACCCCCAGCCTCCCACTTGCCCTTTCCAGCCTCTGGTAACCATCGGCAACTTACTCTTTTTAGTGAATGTCTTTCAGTGTTTTTGTTTTCACATTAGCACACAGATCCACCTCTCAGCTCTAATCCTGAGCTTTCTAGCCCTCAATTGTTCCCGTCTCTGAACTCCTATGATATTTATATATATGAGACTTGTTTTTACTCTTCATTAGTTTTTTAATCAATTTATAATCTGATTCATTATTGTTTATCTTTTGCTTCTTCAATAGAGCGAACTCTTCAAGGTGTACAATTGCATTGTTCAATAGGAATACCTACCCACTTGTCACATGTGGCTACTTAAATTTAAATTGATTAATTTAAATTAAATAAAATTGAATAGTCAGTT